CCAGTTTGAAATAAGCGAAACAGCTAATACTGGTGCTCGTTTTACATTGACTAGTGCAGAGGATCCAGATGTGGGTGTTAACGGACTCAGAGAATATTTTTTGACCGAGAATGACAATTTTGTTCTGAAGCAAAACTCTAATGCAGATGGAAAGAAATATGCAGAGATGGTGTTACAGAAGCCATTAGACAGAGAAACAAACCCTAGTCTGTCTCTAAAGCTCATAGCCGTAGACGGTGGAACTCCGCAGAGATCTGGTACAGTAAATATAGACATAACTGTTCTTGATGTCAATGATAATGCACCTGTATTTAACCAATCTGTGTACAAAGCCACAGTGCTTGAAAACTCTCCAAGAGATACTTACGTTACCACTGTTAATGCCAGTGACGCTGATTTCGGGTCAAATAGTGTTATAACGTATTATTTTTCAGATCTCAATAGTGGTCTCAGTGATTTGTTTACAGTTAATGAAGAAAGTGGTGCTATTTCAATAACAGGTTTAATTGATTATGAAAAAGACAAAAAGTACGAACTCAGAATCGAGGCAAAAGATCAGGGAGGTTTAACGGATTCAAGTAAAGTAATAATTGAAGTAACTGATGTAAATGACAACGCCCCTATTATTAGCGTTATGTCATTCACTAGTCCTGTGTCAGAGGATTCTCCTTCTGGTACAACTATTGGCATTATAAATGTGAAAGATCTTGATTCAGGTGATAACGGACAAGTGAACTGTAAAATTGAACAAAATGCACCTTTTAAGATTAGATCTAATTTGAGGAATTACTATACTTTAGTAACCGACACTGTACTAGATCGAGAAAGTGTCTCAGAATATAACATCACTGTTGTTGCGACAGATGCAGGAATGCCTCCTCTCTACACAAAAAGAACATTTCATTTAAAGGTTTCTGATGTGAACGATAATGCTCCAGTGTTTTCACAAGGTGTTTACAATGCGTTTATTACAGAGAATAACTCTCCAGGGGTTTCTGTTCTCATGCTAAGGGCTAGAGACCCTGATGAAAACCAAAATGCACGTATATCTTACATTCTGGAAGATGCTAATATCGGCGGGTCTCCAGTCTCTGAATATGTTTCTGTAAATGCAGAAAGCGGAGTAGTACACGTCGTCCGCTCATTTGATTATGAACAAATCAAACAGCTGGTTTTCGTCGTCAAAGCTCAGGATGGAGGCTCCCCTCCACTCAGTAGCAATGTGAGTGTGAAAATAATGATCCAGGACCAGAACGACAACCCCCCTCAGGTTCTGTACCCAGTCCAGACTGGTGGCTCTCTGGTGGCTGAGATGGTGCCTCGTTCAGCAGATGTGGGCTATCTGGTCACTAAAGTGGTGGCTGTTGATGTGGACTCTGGACAGAATGCCTGGCTCTCCTATAAACTGCAGAAAGCCACAGACAGGGCGCTGTTTGAAGTGGGCTTACAGAATGGAGAAATAAGAACTATCCGCCAAGTCACTGATAAAGATGCTGTGAAACAAAGACTGACTGTTATAGTGGAGGACAACGGGCAGCCCTCTCGTTCAGCTACAGTCATTGTTAACGTGGCGGTGGCGGACAGCTTCCCTGAAGTGCTGTCGGAGTTCACTGACTTTACACACGACAAGGAGTACAATGACAACCTGACTTTTTTACTTAGTGTTGGCTTTGGCTGTAGTTTCCTTCCTCTTCATCACGTGTTTAGTGGTTATTATATCAGTGAAAATCTACAGATGGAGACAGTCTCGCGTCCTGTATCACTCCAATCTCCCTGTGATTCCATATTATCCTCCACGTTACTCAGACACTTTGGGGACAGGGACTCTCCAACACGTGTACAATTACGAGGTGTGCAGGACGACTGACTCCAGAAAGAGTGACTGTAAGTTCGGCAGAGCTGGTAGTCAGAACGTGCTGATAATGGACCCCAGTTCTACAGGGACGATGCAGCGGATACAGAGTGAAAAGAGCATCCTGGATGAACCAGACTCTCCTCTAGAGGTTAGTTAAATAAGCCAGCTGGGTCTATGTGCGTTTTTTTTTATCTATCTATCTATCTATCTATCTATCTATCTATCTATCTATCTATCTATTATGCATTGATAAAAACTGCTGATTCATGTTGTCATTTTCAGCACCATGCACAGCGTAACAGTTTGCATCACCATATAAAATGCTGTCTGTTAAAGTCTGCATTGATGCAGCTTTTTAAAAGCACATCCTCATGACTTAATCTTATACAAACTTTATTATATAACTATATTTTATTAGTAAAATTCATTTTGATGGAAACTAAGTTGTCCAATGATGTTCAAACTTCAATTCGCAAAGTTTACTGCCAAATTTTCACTTTGTTGTTTATACAATAATCTTGTTCAATATGAAAGGATGCTGTCTGTTATAATGGCTCTTGCAAAAGTTGATGTAAGAACAAAATGATGTTAAAATAATGTTGCGCTGCTGAAAAGCATATTGCAGAACCTGAATCCTCCTACAGTTCTCTTCAGAATATTAAAGGGACTAGCCTTCTCTCTGCCTTTTCTGTGTAACCTTATATAACTGTTCAGCATGCCCAAAGATAATTGTTGCTGTCAACTTATTTATTAGGAGAGTGCATTAATTCCACATCAGTCTTTATCAGAGTTTGTAAACTTTTGAATCACTGGGAGTCATTAACATGGTCTTAAAATTAAAATATTCATATTTCCCTTAAAGACAACAATTACATATATTTTTTATTTTAAAAAGGTTGTCTAATTTTTTTTTCTTCTGATCCAGTCCACTGTTTTTGAATCGTTTCAGAATGAGATTTCATTTTCAGTTATTTTTGACAGAACGTTTTGCGTAATTTTTTATGATATAATATGCTGAGTTGAAACGTGTTTTAATTTATAGTTTTCTTAATAGTCATTCCAAAGTTATTTCCATACGAGGTGTGTTCAGTTTGTCTATATACAAGTCTAAGTATAGCAGGGGCCTCATTTGTTGTTCACCTTTAAGGCTCTAAGGGACGCTGTTGGTCAGCAAAAATATTTTCTCTCTTCTGTCGTCATTCAGTCCATCCCCGACTGACTACACAGTGAAGAAGGCTCTTTCTGTTTTATCGAGGTTCAGAGCGAACGTGTTCTCTCACACTTGCATATAAACGTTGAAGACGTCTCTAGGTGTTACCAGGAAACAGATTTCACAACCGGATTTACTGTCATATCAGTTGGATTTTCATTCTTTGTTGCCACGATGGCAACACGAGGATTTCTCACCAGCATATCCGCAAGATGGCTATTGTTTTATGGACTGCGACGGCAAATAGGACTGCTAATGTTGCTCCTTCATGCAGTTAACATCGTAGGTGGTCAGATTCGTTATTCTATACTAGAGGAGATGAAGAAAGGCTCTGTTATTGGTAACGTTGCACAAGATCTTGGTGTGAATTTGAAAAGGCTCCGTTCTGGGCGGGCCCGTATCGTGACCGGAGAAAATATCCAGTACACCGAGCTGAAGACAGACAAAGGGATTCTTGTCGTGAATGAGAGAATAGACCGAGAGGAGCTCTGTGGAGACGTAACGCCGTGTAGTTTCAGCTTTGAGGTTATTTTAGAAAATCCAATGGAGCTGCACAGAATAACTGTGGAGGTTTTGGATATAAATGATCACGCTCCCGTCTTCCCAAATAGAGATACTCCTATCCGCCTCGAAATAAGTGAATCAGCTGTAGTTGGAGTTCAGTTTCCACTGCAGAATGCAGAGGATCTAGATGTGGGGCAAAACGCGCTTCAAGATTATGTTTTGTCACCCAACGACAATTTTATTTTGAAGCAACATGCAAATCCAGATGGCAGTAAATATGTTGAAATGGTGCTCCAGAAGCCTTTAGATAGAGAGCGACATCCACATTTGACTTTGAAATTAATCGCAGTGGACGGAGGAACTCCACAAAGATCAGGTACAGTGAATATAGATATTACGGTGTTAGATGCTAACGACAACGTTCCGGTTTTTAACCAATCCGTGTATAAAGCATATGTGATGGAAAACACGATGAAAGGCACTAGTATTGTTACAGTAAATGCCACAGACGCGGACAGCGGTTCAAATGGACTCATTACTTATAGTTTGTCTAAAATGAAAGGGAGTGCAGCAAATATATTCAGTATTGATGAAATCACAGGAACAATTTCTGTGGCTGGTCAAATAGATTATGAAAAAGACAGAAAATACGAGTTGAGGGTCGAGGCAAAGGACCAGGGTGGCTTAACGGGAACAAGTAAAGTTATAATTGATGTTTTTGATATTAACGACAATGCTCCAGTTATAAATAGTATGTCATTTTCAAGCCCTGTATCCGAGGATGCACCCCCTGGTACTACGATTGCTATTTTAAACATAAAAGATGCCGATTCTGAGAAAAATGGGCAAATCAAATGTTCTATAGATGGAAAACTTCCCTTTAAGATCGAATCATCTTTAACAAACTATTACAATTTAATCTCAGATCAGCATTTTGATAGAGAATCCGTCTCAGAATATAGTATAACAATAACAGCCACGGATTTAGGGACTCCCCCTCTTTCCAGTTCAAGAAAACTACATCTTAAAATATCTGACGTAAACGACAACCCACCATTATTTGATAAAAACAGCTATTCTTCTTATATCACAGAGAATAATTCCCCCGGAGTTTCCATATTTGCTCTTAGCGCCCGAGACTCTGATTGGAATCAAAACGCTAGAATATCGTATCTTTTAGAGGAAATACAAGTCAGTGGTAGTCCAGTTTCTACTTATGTGTCTTTAAACTCTGAAACTGGAGTGCTTAACGCGGTCCGTTCCTTTGATTATGAGCAAATTAAACAGCTTCAGTTAATCGTCAAAGCTCAGGATGGAGGCTCCCCTCCACTCAGTAGCAATGTGAGTGTGAAAATAATGATCCAGGACCAGAACGACAACCCTCCTCAGGTTCTGTACCCAGTCCAGACTGGTGGCTCTCTAGTGGCTGAGATGGTGCCTCGTTCAGCAGATGTGGGCTATCTGGTCACTAAAGTGGTGGCTGTTGATGTGGACTCTGGACAGAATGCCTGGCTCTCCTATAAACTGCAGAAAGCCACAGACAGGGCGCTGTTTGAAGTGGGCTTACAGAATGGAGAAATAAGAACTATCCGCCAAGTCACTGATAAAGATGCTGTGAAACAAAGACTGACTGTTATAGTGGAGGACAACGGGCAGCCCTCTCGTTCAGCTACAGTCATTGTTAACGTGGCGGTGGCGGACAGCTTCCCTGAAGTGCTGTCGGAGTTCACTGACTTTACACACGACAAGGAGTACAATGACAACCTGACTTTTTACTTAGTGTTGGCTTTGGCTGTAGTTTCCTTCCTCTTCATCACATGTTTAGTGGTTATTATATCAGTGAAAATCTACAGATGGAGACAGTCTCGCGTCCTGTATCACTCCAATCTCCCTGTGATTCCATATTATCCTCCACGTTACTCAGACACTTTGGGGACAGGGACTCTGCAACACGTGTACAATTACGAGGTGTGCAGGACGACTGACTCCAGAAAGAGTGACTGTAAATTCGGCAGAGGTGGTAGTCAGAACGTGCTGATAATGGACCCCAGTTCTACAGGGACGATGCAGCGGATACAGAGTGAAAAGAGCATCCTGGATGAACCAGACTCTCCTCTAGAGGTCAGTTCAGTAATGTAGCTTCGTCTCTGTTACTTAATTTCTCTTTCTCTGTTTGTTTAAATTGATTGTTAACTGTTGCGCGCTATACCGTCATTTTCAGCACCATGGACAGCATTTTACTCTCCAGCTCTTGAATAGTCAGCGGAATACTTCTATATTCATATGTAGACATGCAAAACACGAGAACATTCTTTATTCTGAGTCGATGATATGGTGTTTTAATGTTTCGCTTACCCCTGAAGTGGATTTATTCTGTTGTGTGAATACAGACTGATAACTTTCTAGTTTTTAAATATGCTTGATCTCCAGTCCCTTCATGTGCAATCACTCGTGGTTGTTGAAACAAACGGTTTGCATGTGACCTAAATTATTATCCCGACAATGAAATATGCCCCTTTCAGTGCTCTTTTTTAATATCAACCAGGTTTTCTGAACTCCTTTTCTTTGTCAGCGGTTTCCTGAGCCATAATAGAATCTTAGTCATATTTCTTATTTGTTAATTTTTTTTTATGCGTTTTGTATTGCTGTTTTTGTTAAATATGACAGTTTTTAGAGATGAATACATTACAAATGCATTATACTTAAGGTCAGGGTCATATTAGTATTTTGAGGTGTTTTTTGTGGAGTACTACGTTGAAATATTTTGATTAACCACCAATCAAATGTAGTCAAACACTCAATGTCCCAGATATAATTATATGTTGCATGGTGTTACTGATTTTGGGCTCTAAGGGACGCTGTTGGTCAATCCAACAGAATGTCGAAAACATTACCACACTGTCCCCTCCCTTACCACCGTGGCCTGTGAGAGAAAATGAGATTGTGTGCATTATATGGGCTGACATTCGAGGAAAACATACCCGCATGAATTCATATTTCCATTCAGATACTGAATTGAAAAGACAACAGAAGTCTTCTTTAGATGAACAATACTGTGTTTTTATTCAGAATAGGTGCCGTGTTTGGACCTTTGTAGAGCATATTTTCGTTTTTTTCTTTTGCTATGGCTTGTGGAATACCTCCCGACACTCGGTGCGTAAAATGGCGCTTTGGCTGCGGACAGAATTTGCGTCTTCTTTTCTTCCTTTTTATCTGAATATGGTCAGTGGACATATCCGATATTCAATCCCAGAGGAGATGAAGAAAGGCTCTCTAATCGGCAATGTAGCACAGGACCTTGGTTTGGATCTGAAAAGGCTTCGTTCTGGTCGGGCCCGTATCGTGACCGGAGAGAGCATCCAGTACACGGAGCTGAAGACAGACAAAGGGATTCTAGTCGTCAAAGAGAGAATAGACCGAGAGCAGCTTTGCGGAGACATAACGCCGTGTAGTTTCAGCTTTGAGGTGATTTTAGAAAACCCTATGGAGCTACATCAAATTACAGTTGAAATAACAGACATAAATGATCATTCGCCCACGTTCAAAAGAGATAAGATCCATTTTGAAATAAGTGAAATAGCTAATTCTGGTGCTCGTTTTTCTCTAACGAGTGCAGAAGACCCCGATGTGGGTGTTAACGGACTCAGAGAATATTTTTTGACCGAGAATGACAATTTTGTTCTGAAGCAAAACTCTAATGCAGATGGAAAGAAATATGCAGAGATGGTGTTACAGAAGCCATTAGACCGAGAAACAAACCCTAGTCTGTCTCTAAAGCTCATAGCCGTAGATGGTGGAACTCCGCAGAGATCTGGTACAGTAAATATAGACATAACTGTTCTTGATGCCAATGATAATGCGCCTGTATTTAACCAATCTGTGTACAAAGCCACAGTGCTGGAAAACTCTCCCAGAGATACTTACGTTACCACTGTTAATGCCAGTGACGCTGATTTCGGGTCAAATAGTGTTATAACGTATTATTTTTCAGATCTCAATAGTGGCCTCAGTGATTTGTTTATGATTGATGAAACAACTGGTGTAATTTTAATAACAGGTTCTGTTGATTTTGAAAAAGACAAAAAGTACGAACTCAGAATCGATGCAAAAGATCAGGGAGGTTTAACGGATTCAAGTAAAGTAATAATTGAAGTAACTGATGTGAATGACAACGCCCCTATTATTAGCGTTATGTCATTCACTAGTCCTGTGTCAGAGGATTCTCCTTCTGGTACAACTATTGGCATTATAAATGTGAAAGATCTTGATTCAGGTGATAACGGACAAGTGAATTGTAAAATAGAACAAAATGCACCTTTTAAGATTAAATCTAATTTGAGGAATTACTACACTTTGGTGACAGACACTGTATTAGATCGTGAAAGTGTTTCAGAATATAACATCACTGTTGTTGCAACAGATGCAGGAAGGCCTCCTCTCTACACAAAAAGAACATTTCATTTAAAGGTTTCTGATGTGAACGATAATGCTCCAGTGTTTTCACAAGGTGTTTACAATGCGTTTATTACAGAGAATAACTCTCCAGGGGTTTCTGTTCTCATGCTAAGGGCTAGAGACCCTGATGAAAACCAAAATGCACGTATATCTTATATTCTGGAAGATGCTAATATCGGCGGGTCTCCAGTCTCTGAATATGTTTCTGTAAATGCAGAAAGCGGAGTAGTACACGTCGTCCGCTCATTTGATTATGAACAAATCAAACAGCTGGTTTTCGTCGTTAAAGCTCAGGATGGAGGCTCCCCTCCACTCAGTAGCAATGTGAGTGTGAAAATAATGATCCAGGACCAGAACGACAACCCTCCTCAGGTTCTGTACCCAGTCCAGACTGGTGGCTCTCTGGTGGCTGAGATGGTGCCTCGTTCAGCAGATGTGGGCTATCTGGTCACTAAAGTGGTGGCTGTTGATGTGGACTCTGGACAGAATGCCTGGCTCTCCTATAAACTGCAGAAAGCCACAGACAGGGCGCTGTTTGAAGTGGGCTTACAGAATGGAGAAATAAGAACTATCCGCCAAGTCACTGATAAAGATCCTGTGAAACAAAGACTGACTGTTATAGTGGAGGACAACGGGCAGCCCTCTCGTTCAGCTACAGTCATTGTTAACGTGGCGGTGGCGGACAGCTTCCCTGAAGTGCTGTCGGAGTTCACTGACTTTACACATGACAAGGAGTACAATGACAACCTGACTTTTTATTTAGTGTTGGCTTTGGCTGTAGTTTCCTTCCTCTTCATCACGTGTTTAGTGGTTATTATATCAGTGAAAATCTACAGATGGAGACAGTCTCGCGTCCTGTATCACTCCAATCTCCCTGTGATTCCATATTATCCTCCACGTTACTCAGACACTTTGGGGACAGGGACTCTCCAACACGTGTACAATTACGAGGTGTGCAGGACGACTGACTCCAGAAAGAGTGACTGTAAGTTCGGCAGAGCTGGTAGTCAGAACGTGCTGATAATGGACCCCAGTTCTACAGGGACGATGCAGCGGATACAGAGTGAAAAGAGCATCCTGGATGAACCAGATTCTCCTATAGAGGTGAGGGGCAATATGCTAAGTCTTGTTTTTGTGAAATGAAATTGCAATAAGTAGTTGTCTGCTGTTTAGCCGAACAAAAGTGCACCCGGTTCATTTCAGCACCACAGTGTGGACAGCACCTCTTTAACTGAAAGTGCTCTCTGGCTTGAAAGCTTTCCACTTTCCTCTGAATGTATATAAGTTCTAACATCTGTTAATAATACTACTAATGACAATCACAATACATTTATTTTCTCACTATTATTGTTAATTATTGTCATCATTATTATTATTATTAGTAGTATTAGTAACACGTTTAACATTTAAGACATTGAACATTATTTGACAGGTTTTTAAATATTTGCAAATGCAGTTTACCCTGCAGAATTAGGTCAATGTTCTTCTTCTTCTACCTATTATTATTATTATTATTATTATTATTATTATTATTATTATCAAAGGCCTTGATGTTGCAGACATCAGTGTTTATCCGCTTTGCTCTTATTACTAGCTTCATTATTTACTTCCAGCCCTTTTGGTGTTCACGTTTTGGACTCTAAGTGACGCTGTTGAACAAGAATATAATGTCTATCCATAGTCTCTCTTCTGTAGTGCAGGCTTGTTCTTTTTAAGATCACATTAAGCTAGGCTCCGAGGGAACAGCAAGAAGCTTATAAATCTCGGCAAATAACGTGTTGTTTTTTGTAGTCTTTGCTCGTGTTTTCTAGTGTTTTCTAATATATACAAAGCACATCTGGAAGAGTGGACGATATTGAATTCAAGTTGGAGGATTTTCGTTCTTTTTTCTTCGGAAAATGTCCCTTTCCGACATGGCGTATCAGCAACCACTCAGCAAATGCCGTTTACATGTCGGACCTCAGCGGGTGATGCTTCTTCTGTTGTTTTACTTCTTTAATGATGTCGCTGGTCAGATCCGCTACTCTATCCCAGAGGAAATGAAGAAGGGCTCTCTAATCGGTAATGTAGCACAGGATCTGGGTTTGGATGTGAAAAGGCTCCGTTCTGGTCGGGCCCGTATCGTGACCGGAGAAAACATCCAGTATACGGAGCTAAAGACAGACAAAGGGATTCTCGTCGTGAATGAGAGAATAGACCGAGAGCAGCTTTGTGGAGACGTAACGCCGTGTAGTTTCAGCTTTGAAGTGATTTTAGAAAACCCGATGGAGCTACACCACATAACAATTGAGGTGTTAGATGTAAATGATCATCCTCCGGTGTTCAAGAAATCGGATATTATGTTAGACATAAGCGAGTCAGCTAATCTTGGGGCGCGATTTGTGCTCGACAGTGCAGAGGATCCTGATGTTGGCGTCAATGGCTTACAGAATTATGTTTTAACCTCAAACGACAATTTCGTTTTAAAACAGCATGTAAATCCAGACGGGAGTAAATATGCAGAGATGGTGCTTCAGAAGCAATTAGACAGAGAGGAGGTTCCCCATCTTTCTTTAAAGCTTATAGCGGTAGATGGTGGGAATCCACAGAGATCTGGCACAGTAAATATAAACATAATAGTTTTAGATGCCAATGACAATCCTCCGGTTTTCAACCAGTCAGTTTATAAAGCCACAGTGATTGAAAATGCAGCAAGGGGCACTAATATCGTTACTGTTAATGCTACAGACGCAGATAGCGGGTCGAATGGTTACATCACATATTCAATTTCAAACGTGAAGAGCAACATAGCTGATTTGTTGTCCATAGATCAAGTCTCTGGTGCATTATTTGTTTCAGGTCCTATAGATTTCGAAAAGGATAAAAAAATATGAGCTTAGAATCGATGCAAAAGATCAGGGAGGTTTAACGGATTCAAGTAAGGTAATAATTGACGTTACTGATGTAAATGACAACGCCCCTATTATTAGCGTCATGTCATTCACTAGTCCTGTGTCAGAGGATTCTCCTCCAGGTACAACTATTGGCATTATAAATATAAAAGATCTTGATTCTGGGGATAACGGACAAGTGAATTGTAAAATAGAACAAAATGCACCTTTTAAGATTAAATCTAGTTTAAGGAATTACTACACTTTGGTGACAGACACTGTATTAGATCGTGAAAGTGTTTCAGAATATAACATCACTGTTGTTGCGACAGATGCAGGAATGCCTCTTCTCTCAACAAAGAGAACATTTAATTTAAAGGTCTCTGATGTGAACGATAATGCTCCAGTGTTTTCACAAGGTGTTTACAACGCGTTTATTACAGAGAATAACTCTCCAGGGGTTTCTGTCCTCACTGTTAGGGCTAGAGACCCTGATGAAAACCAGAACGCCCGTATATCTTATATTCTGGTGGATTCTGATCTTGACGGTTCTCCAGTGTCTCACTGTGTGTCAGTGAATGCAGAAAGCGGAGTCATACACGCAGTGCGCTCATTTGATTATGAGCAGGTCAAACAGCTGGTTTTCGTTGTCAAAGCTCAGGATGGAGGCTCCCCTCCACTCAGTAGCAATGTGAGTGTGAAAATAATGATCCAGGACCAGAACGACAACCCTCCTCAGGTTCTGTACCCAGTCCAGACTGGTGGCTCTCTGGTGGCTGAGATGGTGCCTCGTTCAGCAGATGTGGGCTATCTGGTCACTAAAGTGGTGGCTGTTGATGTGGACTCTGGACAGAATGCCTGGCTCTCCTATAAACTGCAGAAAGCCACAGACAGGGCGCTGTTTGAAGTGGGCTTACAGAATGGAGAAATAAGAACTATCCGCCAAGTCACTGATAAAGATGCTGTGAAACAAAGACTGACTGTTATAGTGGAGGACAACGGGCAGCCCTCTTGTTCAGCTACAGTCATTGTTAACGTGGCGGTGGCGGACAGCTTCCCTGAAGTGCTGTCGGAGTTCACTGACTTTACACACGACAAGGAGTACAATGACAACCTGACTTTTTACTTAGTGTTGGCTTTGGCTGTAGTTTCCTTCCTCTTCATCACGTGTTTAGTGGTTATTATATCAGTGAAAATCTACAGATGGAGACAGTCTCGCGTCCTGTATCACTCCAATCTCCCTGTGATTCCATATTATCCTCCACGTTACTCAGACACTTTGGGGACAGGGACTCTCCAACACGTGTACAATTACGAGGTGTGCAGGACGACTGACTCCAGAAAGAGTGACTGTAAGTTCGGCCGAGCTGGTAGTCAGAACGTGCTGATAATGGACCCCAGTTCTACAGGGACGATGCAGCGGATACAGAGTGAAAAGAGCATCCTGGATGAACCAGACTCTCCACTAGAGGTTAGTTCAGTTTTATCACCTGAGTCAATTATACAATCTTTGGTGCTGTGCGCCTCAATTTCCATTTTCCTTCTTGCTGACTGTGTACTTTGTATGTTAACTCAACTACCAGCTGTTTTAAATAAATGATTAAATAACTAACATATATCTGTGATTAAATATTTTACTGAATTAGGGGCTCAGTAACAAAGTCCATAATATTCATGTTTTTATGTAACAAAAATCAAGTGGTACATTGTTTGTGTTTGCAAACGCAGTGACTGAGTTTAATTTGACATCAGTATTTTATAGTCTGATTTTCCACACCTTCACTCTGGGTCCTACTCTCCTTTCACTTCATTCGTAATGCTGCTTGATTGAGTACCACAGACAGCGACATTATTGTTCTTTTATTAGTAATCCATTGCCCTTTGGAAGTCATTTGATGTCTAACTGCTTAGTGCTGTTGCTTCAATTGACCTGTTGAGTCCGTCTTTTCACAATTATTACGCAAATGTAGTAATATTAATTGATTGAGCAGCAGCTGCAAATATTCACAGGGGATCAATGCTTAGCTTCTTACTCCCAGTATGAGAGAGTTCAGATTTTGGACTCTAAGTGACGCTGTTGGTCAGCGAAACGTTTTCAGTGATAACAGCCAGCCTATAACCCTCCCTCACTACCGTACTTAAGCATGACAGCAGTGATACTGTCCTTCGTGGGAGGACAGGGAGTGAAGAGACGCTTTCTTACACATCGTTCTGTGGAATATACCACGATCACGTTTTTATCTAAACGTAGTACAATATATTTATCGTGGACTACAACCTCACGTTTATTTTCTTCAAGTGAGGAAGCTTCAGGCATCAATATCTATTGTTTCTGATATGGCAGCCCGAGGCCAGCTCTACCCGAGACGTGTAAGATGGCGATGTTCTTTCATATTACGATGTCAAGTTGGATTTCTCATTGTGCTCACTTTTATGGCTGATCGAGTGGCTGGACAGATTCGTTATTCTATTCCAGAGGAGATGAAAAAAGGCTCCCTCATTGGCAATGTAGCACAAGACCTCGGTCTGGATCTGAAAAGGCTCCGTTCTGGCCGTGCCCGGATCGTGAGTGGAGAAAACATCCAGTACACCGAGCTGAAGACAGACAAAGGGATTCTAGTAGTGAATGAGAGAATAGACAGGGAGCAGCTTTGTGGAGATGTGACACCGTGCAGCCTCAGCTTCGAAATCATTTTAGAAAATCCAATCGAACTTCATCGTGTCACTGTGGAAATTTTAGATATAAACGATAATACCCCCTTCTTTCCAAATAAAGACATCCAGTTTGAAATGAGCGAATCTGCTACAATCAGCGCAAAATTTCCTGTTGAAAGCGCAGTTGATCCTGATGTTGGACTAAACGCATTACAAAATTACATTCTGTCTCCGAATAATTATTTCATTCTGAAACAACACACTAATCCAGACGGCAGTAAATACGCTGAATTGGTGCTCCAGAAGCCATTAGACAGGGAGGAACACCCCAGTCTCCTTCTAAAATTAATAGCTGTCGACGGAGGAAACCCACAGAGATCTGGTACAGTGGACATAAATGTATCTGTTTTAGATGTAAACGATAATGCCCCTGTATTCAATCAGTCGGTTTATAGGGCTGCTGTGGTGGAAAATGCGCCACAGGGGACTTATATTACAACAGTTAACGCTAGTGATGCAGACATTGGCAGTAACGGAGAAATAATATTCAGTTTTTCGAAAGTAAAAGGCACTACGGTTGGTATTTTTAGTATCGATGAAAACACAGGTGTCATATCAGTTGCTGGACTTATAGACTTTGAAAAAGAGAAAAAATATGAACTTAGGTTAGAGGGGAAGGATCGAGGAGGTTTGACTGGAACCAGTAAAGTTATAATTGATGTTAGTGACGTAAATGACAATGCCCCAGTCATTAATATCATGTCATTTTCTGACATTGTAGCAGAAGATTCCCCCCTCGGCACAACAATTGCTGTTATCAATGTAAAAGACGCTGATTCGGAGAAAAATGGACAGATACAATGTGCCATAGATAAAACGCTTCCATTTAAAATCCAGTCATCATTAACAAACTACTATAATTTGGTGGCGGATCAGCATTTCGATAGAGAGACAACTTCTGAATACGATATTATAATAACAGCCACAGACTCAGGGTCCCCTCCTCTTTCTAGCTCCGTCACATTGCAACTTCGAATCTCTGACGTAAACGATAACGTTCCATTGTTCGACAGAAACTCGTATTCTGCTTACGTCACAGAGAACAATTCCCCTGGAAACTCCATAACGACTGTGAGCGCGCGAGACTCTGATTGGAATCAAAACGCGAGAATCTCCTATTTTCTGGAGGACACACAGATCAGCGGTAATCCGGTGTCTAACTATGTGTCCATAAACTCTGAAACTGGCGTCTTACACGCGGTGCGTTCATTTGATTATGAGCAAATTAAACACCTGCAGCTAGTAGTCAAAGCTCAGGATGGAGGCTCCCCTCCACTCAGTAGCAATGTAAGTGTGAAAATAATGATCCAGGACCAGAACGACAACCCTCCTCAGGTTCTGTACCCAGTCCAGACTGGTGGCTCTCTGGTGGCTGAGATGGTGCCTCGTTCAGCAGATGTGGGCTATCTGGTCACTAAAGTGGTGGCTGTTGATGTGGACTCTGGACAGAATGCCTGGCTCTCCTATAAACTGCAGAAAGCCACAGACAGGGCGCTGTTTGAAGTGGGCTTACAGAATGGAGAAATAAGAACTATCCGCCAAGTCACTGATAAAGATGCTGTGAAACAAAGACTGACTGTTATAGTGGAGGACAACGGGCAGCCCTCTCGTTCAGCTACAGTCATTGTTAACGTGGCGGTGGCGGACAGCTTCCCTGAAGTGCTGTCGGAGTTCACTGAATTTACACACGACAAGGAGTACAATGACAGCCTGACTTTTTACTTAGTGTTGGCTTTGGCTGTAGTTTCCTTCCTCTTCATCACGTGTTTAGTGGTTATTATATCAGTGAAAATCTACAGATGGAGACAGTCTCGCGTCCTGTATCACTCCAATCTCCCTGTGATTCCATATTATCCTCCACGTTACTCAGACACTTTGGGGACAGGGACTCTCCAACACGTGTACAATTACGAGGTGTGCAGGACGACTGACTCCAGAAAGAGTGACATGAAATGTATGCAACCGATGAGTCAAAGTTTAGTGAGTGTGGATGGAGCTGAGACTGATACTTCGCAGGTGGACCAGCAACTGTCTGGAAACTTTTCTCAAATGTCAACTTTGGTGAGTGATATATTTAATCTTTTGTTCTCAATTTTCTCCTTCTCGTATTCCTTTGGGTGAAAGTATTTGGTGCATGCGCACTGCTGTCAGTAGAGTCTCAGTGTCGCTGTCCATGGTGCTGGAATTGTTGACGGATTCCTATTGAAATAACTTTCTTTACCTGTTGTAGTTAATTGGAAGCTATACTTTATATTTAAAGACAAGAAATGGCAGTATGTAAAGAACAACACAATAAGAGAATTTAATAGTCACTCAAACCACAGTCTGTGTGTTGTTTTTGGCAGACACATCCATTATTATGCTGATCATTTAGATCTTAACAACTTAATCATTGGAAGTGGCATCAACAGTTTTGCCAGATTTTTTTTTTTACAAATACTTTTTCCCTTTTTGATTGTATCACTATTTTCAGATATTTTTCAAGAAACCACAATGTTTTCAATTAGAAAACAAACTGTGCGTTTTCCAGGGTGAAATAAAAAATTGTATGGCAACTCAAAAGAAAAGAAAAGAAAATTCATCCTTTCTCTTTTTTCCTTTCTTATCTAATAGTTCAGAATATTTATTGTAGTATGATGTGTTTGTTGAACCGTCCTAGTTGTTTATGCATTCGATAGATCAGAAATAAATGTTTCATTATGCAGCATCAGTTGTGAACATAACGGGATTATGTTTTAATGGATAACAACGTGATTTTACTATAACCTGAAACTTTCAGATGCTTTTGTGAAACTGTGTTTCATCACTGTATGAACAGAGGAATGTCCTTCAGTTATACTGCTTGATTGTAACGTTTTAATGCAGTTTTATACAATAATAATCATAAAAACTATCCATAACCTTTGAAAACAACATTTAGACTGTTCCTAATAATGTGCACACCACATAGCTACATTACCGTGGATGGACTCTGAGCGCCGCTGTTGATACATCACTGACTAGCTGTCCAAATCAGCAGTGCAGCGGTCCACCCCTTTAATTCATTCCAGTGTTTTACTGCTTGGAGAGAAGACGGTCTGGTGTAGCTTTTCTCGCGGAATTTCTCTGCTGAACGATACTTTTGCCTTCTCAATTTATGGATTTTAAAATACCAGTTTTGCATTGAAAGGGATTCCTGCGTCTGTATCTCTGGATTTATGATGGCTTGTATGTGGATAACCGCTCTCAGAGGCCGATGGCAAGCGCTGTTTGCCATTCTTTGTCTTCTCAAGCTGAGCTCAGTGACCGGACAGGCTCGGTATTCCGTACCGGAGGAGCAGGCAGAAGGGTCTTTTGTTGGAAACATCGCTAGAGATTTAGGTTTGGATGTGGCGAGGCTCGTATCAGGTAAAGCTCGTATTATTACAAAAGGAAGTCGTCAGTATGTTGATTTAAACCGAGACAAAGGCAGTCTAGTTATTAAAGAGCGAATCGACCGAGAGGAACTGTGTGGAAAGACGACGCCCTGTAGCTTCAGCTTCGAAGTCATACTAGAAAATCCAATCCTGCTTTATCGTGTAACAGTGGAGGTAATAGACATAAACGATAACAGTCCGTCGTTCCCAAAGGATGAAATCAATTTGAAAATCGCTGAAAGTGCTGCATCGGGGACTCGATTCACTCTAGTGAGTGCAGACGATCCTGATGTTGGTGTTAATGATATTCAAAAATACACACTTAAACCGTCAGATCATTTCAAATTGGAAGTACAGAGTCAGCCTGATGGAGGAAAATTCATCGAAATGGTTTTACAAAACCCGTTAGACCGAGAGAAAGAGGAGACTCACACACTCGTGCTGATTGCTTCAGATGGAGGAGAGCCACATAGATCAGGGACGGTGCGTATTCATATCACTGTGCTAGATGCTAACGATAACGTGCCAGTGTGCAGCCACCCTGTTTATAAAGCAGATGTCAAGGAAAATTCTCCTGAAGGAACAGTTGTGACCACTGTTAGTGCAAATGACGCTGATAAAGGAGTTAATGGTGAGGTAACTTATTCCATCCCTTATATCGCCAAAGAGGCAAAACAGCTTTTTGAAGTAAATGTTGAAACTGGAGAGATTAAAGTTGCAGGTAAATTAGATTTTGAAAAATCTAAAACGTATCAGTTAAACGTTCAAGCCAGTGACCACGGGGGATATACAGATACGTGTAAAGTCATCATTCAAATAATTGACGAGAATGACAACATCCCTACAATACAGCTCATGTCATTTTCTAACTCGATATCCGAGGATTCTCCTCCAGGTACAACTATAGCTGTTGTTAATGTTGATGACGAAGACTCTGACGGTAACGGTGTCGTCAAATGCTCCATTAACTCTGACGTACCATTCAAAGTTGAGTCTTCATTAACAGGATACTATACTGTTGTAACCGAAGACTACTTAGACAGAGAAAGTATTCCTGAGTATAACATCACCTTAACCGTCTCTGACCAAGGCTCTCCGCCTCTGACCAGCAGTAAAAACATCAATGTAAAAGTGTCTGACGTGAATGACAGCCCACCCAAATTTGATCAATCAGAATATAGTAAGACTGTACCGGAGAACAATTCTCCTGGATTTTCTGTGTTTAGTCTCAGTGCTAGTGATGCCGACTGGGGCCAAAACGCGCGAGTTTCTTACTTTCTGGAGGAGAAACAGATTAATGGGGTAGCCGTGTCTTCTTTGGTGTCAATAAATTCAGACAATGGCGTCATTCATGCAGTGAGGTCGTTTGATTATGAGCAAATCAAGTGGTTTGAATTTAACGTAACTGCTCGTGATGCTGGATCCCCTCCTCTGAGCTCGGTGGCTACAGTCAGAATAATAGTCCAGGACCAGAACGACAACCCTCCTCAGGTTCTGTACCCGGTCCAGACTGGTGGCTCTCTGGTGGCTGAGATGGTGCCTCGTTCAGCAGATGTGGGCTATCTGGTCACTAAAGTGGTGGCTGTTGATGTGGACTCTGGACAGAATGCCTGGCTCTCCTATAAACTGCAGAAAGCCACAGACAGGGCGCTGTTTGAAGTGGGCTTACAGAATGGAGAAATAAGAACTATCCGCCAAGTCACTGATAAAGATGCTGTGAAACAAAGACTGACTGTTATAGTGGAGGACAACGGGCAGCCCTCTCGTTCAGCTACAGTCATTGTTAACGTGGCGGTGGCGGACAGCTTCCCTGAAGTGCTGTCGGAGTTCACTGACTTTACACACGACAAGGAGTACAATGACAACCTGACTTTTTACTTAGTGTTGGCTTTGGCTGTAGTTTCCTTCCTCTTCATCACGTGTTTAGTGGTTATTATATCAGTGAAAATCTACAGATGGAGACAGTCTCGCGTCCTGTATCACTCCAATCTCCCTGTGATTCCATATTATCCTCCACGTTACTCAGACACTTTGGGGACAGGGACTCTCCAACACGTGTACAATTACGAGGTGTGCAGGACAACTGACTCCAGAAAGAGTGACATGAAATGTATGCAACCGATGAGTCAAAGTTTAGTGAGTGTGGATGGAGCTGAGACTGACACTTCGCAGGTGGACCAGCAACTGTCTGGAAACTTTTCTCAAATGTCAACTTTGGTGAGTGATTTATTTCATGTTTTGTTCTTAAAATCACTCGCTCTTGTATTATGTTGTGTCAAAGTCTTTGGTGCATGCGCACTGCTGTCAGTAGAGTCTCACTGTCGCTGTCCATGGTGCTGGAATTGTCGACGGATTCCTATTGAAATAACTTTCTTTACCTGTTGTAGTGAAGTGGAAGCTATACTTTATATTTAAAGACAGGAAATGGCACTATGTAAAGAACGACACAATAAGAGAATTTAATAGAGCTACTCAAACCACAGTCTGTGTGTTGTTTTTGGCAGACATATCCATTATTATGCTGAACATTTAGATTTCAACAACTTTATCATTGGATGTGGCATCAACAATTTTGCCAGATTTTTTTTCACAAAGACTTTTTTCCATTTTTGATTATATCACTATTCTAAGATATTTTTCAAGAAACCACAATGTTTTCAATTAGAAAACAAACTGTGCGTTTTCCAGGGCGAAATAAAAATTGTATGGCAACTCAAAAGGAAAGAAAAGAAAATTCATCCTTCCTCTTTTTCCTTTCTCATCTAATAGTTCAGAATATTTATTGTGGTATGATGTGTTTGTTCAACGGTCATATTTGTTTATTCATTCTGTAGATCAGTAATAAATATTTCAGCCTACAGCATCAGTTGTGAACATAACGGGATGATGTTTTAATGGATAATAACGTGATTTTACTATAACCTGAAACTTTCAGATGCTTTTGTGAAACTGTGTTTCATCACTGTATGAACAGAGGACTAGCCTTCAGTTGTACTGCTTTATGGTCACATTTTAATGCAGTTTTATACAATAATAATCATAAAAACTGTCCATAACCTTTGAAAACAACATTTAGACTGTTCCTAATAATGTGCACACCACATACATTACCGTGGATGGGCTCTGAGCGCCGCTGTTGATACATCACTGACTAGCTGTCCAAATCAGCAGTGCAGCGGTCCACCCCTTTAATTCATTCCAGTGTTTTACTGCTTGGAGAGAAGACGGTCTGGTGTAGCTTTTCTCGCGGAATTTCTCTGCTGAACGATACTTTTGCCTTCTCAGTTTATGGATTTTAAAATACCAGTTTTGCATTGAAAGGGATTACTGCGTCTGTATCTCTGGATTTATGATGGCTTGTATGTGGATAACCGCTCTCAGAGGCCGATGGCAAGCGCTGTTTGCCATTCTTTGTCTTCTCAAGCTGAGCTCAGTGACCGGACAGGCTCGGTATTCCGTACCAGAGGAGCAGGCAGAAGGGTCTTTTGTTGGAAACATCGCTAGAGATTTAGGTTTGGATGTGGCGAGGCTCGTATCAGGTAAAGCTCGTATTATTACAAAAGGAAGTCGTCAGTATGTTGATTTAAACCGAGACAAAGGCAGTCTAGTTATTAAAGAGCAAATCGACCGAGAAGATCTGTGTGGAAAGACGACGCCCTGTAGCTTCAGCTTCGAGGTCATTTTAGAAAATCCAATCCAGCTTTATCGTATAACAGTGGAGGTAATAGACATAAACGATAACAGTCCGTCGTTCCCAAAGGATGAAATCAGTTTGAAAATCGTTGAAAGTGTTACATTGGGGACTCGATTCTCACTTGAGAGTGCAGACGACCCTGATGTTGGTATTAATGATATTCAAAAATACACACTTAAACCCTCAGATCATTTCAAATTGGAAGTACAGAGTCAGCCTGATGGAGGAAAATATATCGAAATGGTTTTACAAAACCCGTTGGACCGAGAGAAAGAGGAGACTCACACACTCGTGCTGATTGCTTCAGATGGAGGAGAGCCACATAGATCAGCGACGGTGCGTATTCATATCACTGTGCTAGATGCTAACGATAATGCTCCAATGTGCAGCCAGCCTGTTTATAAAGCAGATGTCAGGGAAAATTCCGCTGAAGGAACAGTTGTGACCACTGTTAGTGCAAATGACGCTGATAAAGGAGTTAATGGTGAAATAACTTATTCCATAGCTCATGTTGCCAAAGAGGCAAAACAGCTTTTTGAAGTAAATGTTAAAACTGGAGAGATTAAAGTTGCAGGTAAATTAGATTTTGAAAAATCTAAAACGTATCCATTAAACGTCAAAGCTAGTGACCATGGGGGTTATACAGATACGTGCAAAGTCATCGTTCAAATAATTGACGAGAATGACAACATCCCTACAATACAGCTCATGTCATTTTCTAACTCGATATCCGAGGATTCTCCTCCAGGTACAACTATAGCTGTTGTTAATGTTGATGACGAAGACTCTGACGGTAACGGTGTCGTCAAATGCTCCATTAACTCTGACGTACCTTTCAAAGTTGAGTCTTCATTAACAGGATACTATACTGTAGTAACCGAAGACTACTTAGACAGAGAAAGTATTCCTGAGTATAACATCACCTTAACCGTCTCTGACCAAGGCTCTCCGCCTCTGACCAGCAGTAAAAACATCAATGTAAAAGTGTCTGACGTGAATGACAGCCCACCCAAATTTGATCAATCAGAATATAGTAAGACTGTACCGGAGAACAATTCTCCTGGATTTTCTGTGTTTAGTCTCAGTGCTAGTGATGCCGACTGGGACCAAAACGCGCGAGTTTCTTACTTTCTGGAGGAGAAACAGATTAATGGGGTAGCCGTGTCTTCTTTGGTGTCAATAAATTCAGACAATGGCGTCATTCATGCAGTGAGGTCGTTTGATTATGAGCAAATCAAGTGGTTTGAATTTAACGTAACTGCTCGTGATGCTGGATCCCCTCCTCTGAGCTCGGTGGCTACAGTCAGAATAATAGTCCAGGACCAGAACGACAACCCTCCTCAGGTTCTGTACCCGGTCCAAACTGGTGGCTCTCTGGTGGCTGAGATGGTGCCTCGTTCAGCAGATGTGGGCTATCTGGTCACTAAAGTGGTGGCTGTTGATGTGGACTCTGGACAGAATGCCTGGCTCTCCTATAAACTGCAGAAAGCCACAGACAGGGCGCTGTTTGAAGTGGGCTTACAGAATGGAGAAATAAGAACTATCCGCCAAGTCACTGATAAAGATGCTGTGAAACAAAGACTGACTGTTATAGTGGAGGACAACGGGCAGCCCTCTCGTTCAGCTACAGTCATTGTTAACGTGGCGGTGGCGGACAGCTTCCCTGAAGTGCTGTCGGAGTTCACTGACTTTACACACGACAAGGAGTACAATGACAACCTGACTTTTTACTTAGTGTTGGCTTTGGCTGTAGTTTCCTTCCTCTTCATCACGTGTTTAGTGGTTATTATATCAGTGAAAATCTACAGATGGAGACAGTCTCGCGTCCTGTATCACTCCAATCTCCCTGTGATTCCATATTATCCTCCACGTTACTCAGACACTTTGGGGACAGGGACTCTCCAACACGTGTACAATTACGAGGTGTGCAGGACGACTGACTCCAGAAAGAGTGACTGTAAGTTCGGCAGAGCTGGTAGTCAGAACGTGCTGATAATGGACCCCAGTTCTACCGGGACAATGCAGCGGATGCAGAGTGAAAAGAGTATCCTGGATGAACCAGATTCTCCTCTAGAGGTTTGTTTTTCGGCCATTATACTCAATAAATGTACAATGCATTACTTAGAGGGTATTATTAGATATATGACTTGATTTTTCAGGTATGTCTCACTGCCTTCGCAAAAGGCAACTTCAGCACCACTAGTGGTGGACAGCTCCTTTCTGAGCTGAATCATTCAACTGAGGTGAAAGAGTCAGTAAGAAACATACACACCATTCAAACGGCCTACTCTGATGCTGTTATATTGCCAAACTATAATGTTTTCGTACTGTATGGGGTGTTTGATGTCTGTTGTAATTAGAAAATATCTGTGGTCTTTCACCTTCCACCCAAGTGTATTTTCATGGAGGGAGAAAACAAGACTTATAGAACGATAAACAGAGTTTTTGCAGTTGTATATCTCATAGAACTGCATTTTGCTGTTACTCTTTATCTCTTCCTTTCATTTAATCACCTTATAAGCTGCATCTTTTATGTCTTATTTTTTGTTTTAATAGAACATGCACACCTTATTTTAAACGTATCTCCAAGACAAATAGTTAGCTTCACACTCTCAATTGCCATTTAAAGAGGCTTTTGTTTTTCTCTTTTCCTTATTCACTTGTTATTTTCCTATCGTACTCTAAGGGCCGCTGTTGGTCTTTAAAGCAGACGTGAAGCCTTTGAAATGCACTTACTCTCCCTCTATTTCAGTTAGTGTATACGCGGACAGCAGGACATTCAGTCTTCCTTTTCACTTGTGATTTTTTTGACTTATGCATTTGTTTTCACTCTGTGGATTATAAATACATCAACAGGAGGACAATACGGGATAATAGCTCGGCTTTTTGCAAATACGTTTATGTGGAGTTGGGTGGATTGCTTCGGGAATATGCCTTTTATCAGCAGTGAACCCACGATTACATGGCAAGTACGGGCCTTCATCTTTGTTTTTCTCATTGACGCGGCAGTCAGTCAGATCCGCTACTCTGTCCCAGAGGAGATGAGAAAGGGCTCCTTTGTAGGAAATGTAGCTGAAGACTTAGGTATAGACGCTAAAAGACTCATATCAGGCGGTGCACGAATTGTTAGCGGAGATAGCAGCGAGTACATCAGGCTGGATGCAGACAAAGGGATTCTTGTGGTGGGAGACAGAATAGATAGGGAGCAGCTCTGCGGACAGACATCGCCCTGTAGCTTGAATTTTGAAATGATTATGACGAATCCAATGCAACTACATAGCGTTGTAGTGGAAGTGTTGGATGTTAATGATAATGCGCCTGTGTTTCATGAGAAAGAGGTGCATGTAGAAATAGTAGAATCTGCTCTTCCAGGAACCGAAATATTACAAGAGAGTGCCACCGATCCCGATGTTGGCATCAACGCTTTACACGGTTATACGTTACACCCAACGACACATTTTAACATTAAGGTCCTGTCCAGCCCAAATGGTAATAAATATGCACAATTGTATCTTTCTAATGCCTTAGACCGCGAGAAAGAAGAAAAGCTGATTCTCATGCTCACTGCTGTGGACGGCGGTGAACCAAAGAGATCAGGAACACTAAAAATTCATGTAACTGTGCGAGACACAAATGACAATGCTCCGGTTTTTACGCAGTCAAATTTCAAGGCGTCTGTTAAAGAAAATGTTCCAAAAGGAACCTTAGTGGTGAGCCTGAGCGCGACTGATGCAGATGAAGGGCTGAATGGCCGTGTTACGTACCACTTTAATCGGATGTCTAGTAACGTTGCTGAACTATTTCATCTGGATGAAAACAGCGGCGATTTAACTGTAAACGGTATGATTGATTACGAAGAGAATAAGATATATGAGATTGGCGTGCAGGCAAAAGATCAAGGTGGACAGAGCACATCAACAAAAGTAATAATTGAGGTGACGGATGTTAATGATAATGCACCTGTAATTACACTAACCTCGTTTTCTAGTGCCATCGCTGAGAATTCTCCGAGTGGAACTACAGTAGCTATCATAAATGTAAAAGATCTAGACTCAGGAAAAAATGGTAAAGTTGACTGCTCAGTTAACGGCAATATCCCGTTTGCAATCCACTCATCTCTGAAGAATTATTATACTCTGGTGACAAACGGTGTCCTTGACAGGGAGCGTACTCCTGATTACAATATCACATTCACGGCTACTGATGAAGGCAGCCCACCACTATCCACTAACAAGACAATACCACTTCGAGTATCTGATGTTAATGATAATGCCCCCGTATTTGAACAGAGTTATTATGAAGCTAATATCGTGGAGAATAACTCCCCAGGATTATCTGTGTTTTCAGTGAAAGCACACGACGCTGACTCGGGGCAGAATGCACGAGTGTCTTACCTGCTTATTGATACTCAGTTAAACGGTAACCCGATATCCACCTACATATCTGTTAACGCAGAAAGTGGAGTTATACATGCAGTTCGCTCATTTGACTATGAGCAAATTAAAACTCTAAATATTTTTGTCAAAGGGCAAGATGGCGGTTCGCCGCCTTTAAGCAGCAATACTACAGTTAAATTAAATGTTCAAGATCAGAACGACAACCCTCCTCAGGTTCTGTACCCAGTCCAGACTAGTGGCTCTCTGGTGGCTGAGATGGTGCCTCGTTCAGCAGATGTGGGCTATCTGGTCACTAAAGTGGTGGCTGTTGATGTGGACTCTGGACAGAATGCCTGGCTCTCCTATAAACTGCAGAAAGCCACAGACAGGGCGCTGTTTGAAGTGGGCTTACAGAATGGAGAAATAAGAACTATCCGCCAAGTCACTGATAAAGATGCTGTGAAACAAAGACTGACTGTTATAGTGGAGGACAACGGGCAGCCCTCTCGTTCAGCTACAGTCATTGTTAACGTGGCGGTGGCGGACAGCTTCCCTGAAGTGCTGTCGGAGTTCACTGACTTTACACAAGACAAGGAGTACAATGACAACCTGACTTTTTACTTAGTGTTGGCTTTGGCTGTAGTTTCCTTCCTCTTCATCACGTGTTTAGTGGTCATTATATCAGTGAAAATCTACAGATGGAGACAGTCTCGCGTCCTGTATCACTCCAATCTCCCTGTGATTCCATATTATCCTCCACGTTACTCAGACACTTTGGGGACAGGGACTCTCCAACACGTGTACAATTACGAGGTGTGCAGGACGACTGACTCCAGAAAGAGTGACTGTAAGTTCGGCAGAGCTGGTAGTCAGAACGTGCTGATAATGGACCCCAGTTCTACAGGGACGATGCAGCGGATACAGAGTGAAAAGAGCATCCTGGATGAACCAGACTCTCCTCTAGAGGTGAGGCCTTTGTAATATTCATATTCACCTATTATCAGGTTTGTGCTTTTCAGACGTCTTACCAAACAGTGGTTTCTTGCTCACGTGTAGCAACCCATGAGGCATTTTCAGAACCACAGCTCATGGACAGCTCGACTGACTGTGGGTTACATTACCTTTGTGGACTGCTGCTTAATTAGGAGCCTATTAATGCAAAATATTTTGTGAGTACTTAATGTCATCGTTTACTAAAGCTGTTATAGATACATTTTCACATATTCAAAGCGTTATATCCTGTTGTCCAATGTAAGTTAATGCTGATTCAGGGAGACTGAAGCCTCCGTTTTTATTAATGATAGTTTTGTGACCATTTTGGTCAAAAAAGATATAACACAAACTATTCAAAAAACTAAAACAAATGTATTGTTTTCGTTTTTCTCTTTAAAAGAATGGATTACAGTGTTTTGATGTGCATTTCTGGCTCTTCTACAGAAAAGTGCTTGGTAAATTGAGTTTTATTTTATGCCTGTGTTCATGATATTCATGATTTGGACAGTAAGGGACGCTGTTGGTTAGTGAAACAAGTGTTCAGAGTTGATTCAGTGGAGGCACAGCCCTCATTTTCCTGTTTAATCGAGAGAGAAGGCAAACTGTGATTCAGACGCAGGAGGACGGCCACGATTTCATTCGGAGCGAGGACTTTAAAATCAAAGGATTACTTGATGCAGCTGTTTTCGATGGATAGTATACAGTAGGCTGCTGATATTATATTCTCTTATTTGTACAATGGCGTTTGAAAAATCTCCTCCTTTTTGTGTAAAATGGCGTTTGTATCGCAGATCAACATGGCAGTTTCTGCTGTTCCTTTGGTGTCTCAGTCACATCGTGTGTGGCCAGATCAGGTATACAATTCCGGAGGAGCTGAAAAGGGGGTCTCTCATTGGAAACGTTGCTCAAGATCTTGGTTTGGATGTGCAAAGGCTTCGTTCTGGCCGTGCCCGAATCGTGACAAGACAAAGCATC